GCATTGAACCCCAAGATGCCAGTCTGGATTTCTGAGATTGGCACTCCATTGCCACCACTGTCAATTTGGTGAAGCTCTATTACCAAAGAGCCTTGTTCTGTGAAACTGGGGTATGACACCTACAGTGATTCCCTCCTTGCTGAGCTGGGCTGTCTTACATGGAGCATTGGAAAAGCTGTCAATGGTTCAGCAAGAGTTTATTATTGGCCCGCTCTCTCAGTACCTTCCCCCGATCTATCTCCTGGATCATTTAAAGCCCCAGCATGCAGGCAGGGCTACAAGACAAGCTGTCGCATTGTAGATGGGTGTCTGGTGCCACTCAGGCTATTGCAGAGCACAGCTCACAATGCCCGCTTTCAGCCAGAAAGCCATTCTGATGCCATGTTGCTCAGCATTATGAAACAGGCAGGAAAAAAAAACAAGATCCCTTGGCTCTCAACGACATTGCAATGCCTGTTTCTATGTGACCGCTTTCTATTCAAGAATAATATCACCAATTGCTTTTCTTACTGAATACAACCCAAAGGGTTAAAAATGGTATCTAACAGGTTAATTGTGATTATTAGGAAATTTCTCTGTTAGAAGAACCAAGGAAACACAAACACTGGTGAAGACTCTACCTCTGTTTGCTCGTTCACTCATTCATTCAGTAAGTATTCACTAAGCATCCCCAAGCGGCAGGTTCTAGGGGTGGAACTATGAGCAAAAGTCAACAGATGAGCTATGCATTCATTCAAACCGGGTTTGGTCATTTAAACTACCAAGAGGCCCATTGTTTACACAGGAGAAGAACTTCTAGTCACCTGTATCTCTCACATAATCAGCGAGGATTTGTTGGATCTGGAGGATGTCTGAGGGAGAAGTGGGAAGATACATATGGGAGGTGGAAAGGGCTGTGGTCCAGGGCTAGCCTCAAACCTGCTATGATGCTGATCTATTCCCTTCTCCTTGGAGTTTCCATTTTCTCCGTGTAATGAGGCCCCTTTTCTGGTCTGGTGCTTATATATGAATGCCTGGCTCTGGGGATCTTTAATTCAGCTGCCAATCTTGTAAGTCCCTTTTAATATTCAGTGTGATATAGCCATTCTACATTATATGCTATCCTTATTCTCTTTTATATATGACTTTTGAATAAAAAAAGAAATAAAGGAAAAGACATGACTGCTCCCAGGTATATCCACTATACCTAGGAGAAAGCTTATTGTAAATAAACAGGAAAGCATAGCCAGAGGAAGGACCTCTGAGAAAATCCAGAGTGAACACAACCAGACTGAGATGGGCCACGGGAGGAGAAGGGGCAGGGGAGGAGAGAGCAGCTGCTGACCAAGAGGAGCAGCCTGGACCAAGAGATCAATCAAGAGAGTAGCCAAAACCATGGGGGACTGACATACAGCCCCTGGGCTGGATAAGTTCGGGGTAGGGGACGGGGTATGCCACAGCCAGAAGGGCCCTGTAACAGGTTGGAACTGAGGGTACCAGGAGAGCCTGGCTGCCAGGTCTGCTTTGATATGATATCTAGGCACCTCAGCCTTTGAGACCTAACAACTTTAAAGCACACACAACAACGGAGATGCTTCCCTGAAGCATCTTGGCTTCTCTTGGTGAATTACAAGGGTAGGGACCTAAGCTGGGCTGTCTCCTTTGAAACGGCTCTCCTATCGGCTGTAGTTTTGAAAGACTCCCGTGGGCGTCTTCCTTCGGGAGAGACCCCGTGCCCAAAGATCAGTCGAAAACACGCAACCGGATGCAAGCAGCAAGAGGTTTATTGGATACGCAGGTACCTGGGGCGGCAAAGTCTCTCAGAGGACTTGCGCGCCTGCAGGTTGGGGGTGAGGGGTTCTTATAGGAGAGCAAAAAGCGAGGTTTACAGAAGCAAGATGCAGGGTGGTAAATTTTTAACCTAAATAACAATGAGGGGACTACTCAGCGGTTTACTGTTCCTCCTATCCTGCCCCCCTTTCCTGGCTGGCGACTAGATGTCTGATTGCACAGCCCCTGACTCATGAGAGCCCCGCTTTATACGTGACTCAGGCCTCGCAATCCTCTCTTTCTTTGTTTTCTATGGCCAGTTCATAAATTCCCTGTCTTGCAGCCAGATAAGGCTGTCCTTGCTCCAACCTCAGGTATCTTTGCTCAGCATTCCAGAGGCCCTGAATTCCGGAGGCCTTTAATTAAGCTTGCTATCTGCTAAGCATTCTGGAGGCCCTGAACTCCGGAGGCCCTTAATTAAGCTTGCTATCTGAAAACCTTTGCAGAACGGCATAACTGTGATTAAAACGAGTTGGGGTCCTTCAGTTTGTCTCCTCATCTTTAGCTGAAGAGCCATCTCTCGGAACATTGTCTTTATTCCCGTAACAACTCCACACAGGCTCAGGTTATCTGTCACGCTCCGACCTGTGCTTCTCATCTCTAGGTGGATTCTAGATTGTAGAGTGAATTCGAATTGGTCTTCATAATAAAAGCCTAGAGTCAGATATCAGGGTAAATGCTGAAAGATCAGAAAAGCAGAGCCCCCTGTCACTAGTTCTTGTTTCTACTGACTCCTCAGACCAAAGGGGCGATCATGTTCCTGTGACTCCTCAAACTGAATGCTCTCTCTACAAAACCTCAGACTGCATCTGAGCCCCTGTCTCCTCCCGCCTTATATAGCTCTCTCCACCCAACCATATCACTCTTGTCTCCACCTTCCTACTGCTAGGATTAAAGGGTGGGGTCTCACGTACTGGGGTCACCTTTGTGTGACCTCTGTTTCTCTTTTAGACAGATTCAATCTCATGTATCCCAGGGTGGCCTTGAACTAACAGAGATCTGTCTGCCTCTGTCCCCCAAGTGTGGGGATTAAAGGCATGTGCCACCACTGCCTGGCCCCTGTGACTAACTAGTGCCTTAGCTCTGCACTTTGATCTTCATGAAAGCAAGCTTTGTTAGACTGAAAACAACATATCATTGTACTAGATCCATAACCAATGCCTTTTGGGGGTTTCTTGAGTTGATTAGAAATGAAAGCGCTGTTCTCACCTGTGGCACACCAGACCCCTCTGCGGAATGCTGGAAACATGCCAATTCACCAGACACTGCCCCTGGATGATTAAAAAGGGGAGGGGGAATCAATATTGTTCAAGGGCTCTCTGGGTAATGCTAACCCAGCAACTGCAAGCACCCTGCAGCTCTCACTGATCAAGGTTCAGGAATGACCTTTTGTTTGGGGCTCCAGAAGAATTCTCTCTTTCCATGGGACTTAGTTCCCAGCACTCTAAGCTTGCCATAAGGGCTGGCTCCAGGGTCACACAAGCACCATGCTGAGAAGGGCTCCGTTCTTGCCTTAATGCTCCATTAACTCTACCTTGAACTTCTCATTAAGTTTGTACATAGCTGGTGTCTTAGGGTTTTTGTGGCTGCAAAGGGATACCATGACCATAGCAACTCTTCTAGGGAAAACATTTAATTGAGGGGGCTAGCATATAGTTTCAGAGGTTCAGGAGTTTGTTATGATGGCGAGCATGGTGGTGTGCAGAAAGACGTGGTGTTGGAGGAGTGGCTGAGTGTTCTATGTCTCGCAGACAACAGGAAGTTGACTGAAACTTTGGGCAGTATCCTGAGCATAGGAAACCTTAAAGCCCGCCCACACAGTGACACACTTCCTCTAACAAGGCCACACCCATTCCAACAAAGCCACGTCTCCTCATCGTGCCATTCCCTATGAGATTATGGGTGCCAATTACATTCGAACAACCATAGTTGATAAGTTCTAATACCTGTCCAGCTTGTTCCCCATTCTGGGCTGGACTTACTGAAGTGGCAATCAGGCCTTATCTCTGGCCTCCAACGTGAACAAAACATTAACTTTTCTTATTGTTCTGTAAAAGTGGGCTGCTTGTGGGAGAAATTCTTTTCTGTACCTTTTCCCATGTTTCCTCTTCTATAAATAGCATCTATCCCTTAGGAGAAACAGTCAATATTTCATTTTCCTACCAAGTAGTGGCATGTCTTTGTAAATATGTCTTGAAGCTCCAACAAGACACCTCACAGGCGAACAACAGGTCCACGTCTACACTCCAGGCTTCAGTCCCTGTCCAGCTTCCCTGATGGCTTCGCAATCTGCTTTTCCTGCTGGAGACCAGTGCAATGGGAGCATGCACAGCTGCCTTGAATCAGTTTCCCGGGTATGAAAGCTAACTGTGTCACTGGAGAGCTAGGGGGCAACCTTTCACACCCAGACCATCTACCCATCCCATTTAAATAAAGTTCACAACAGTATAGGGATTAATTGAGTCCTGTTTCTCATGGTAGCACATGGCTGTGATTCCAACATTTGGGAAGTGGTGGCAGGAGATTTTTCCGTTCAAAACTGGGTTTGACTTCTTAGCAAGACTGTCCCTGAAAGTGGGGTAAAATAAAGAGAAGATGAAGGAAGAGGAGGAAGGGAGAGAAAGAGGTAAGAGAGAAGAGGAAGAAGAGGAGGAGGAAGCCAGAGCCAGCCCTCACCACCTTTGTTGACACCAAGCGAAAACAAAAATCTCCAAATTCAACTGAGCCCTTAATATATTTCATTGACTCTAGGACACATGCTAAGTTACAAGCACAAGATTGCGTTGAACTCATGGAAGACAGAAGAAGACCCAGTGAAGCCTCAGACTCCATCCTGCTTTCCAGTTCAATGTAGTCAATTATTAGGTTGACCTTTTGACCTCTGGCTTCCATAACCGTTTCTCTTGCAGCTTTGACCTGTGGCAGGAAAACACATGATTGCTAGTCCACCTAAACCATGACACAGGGAGATGGTAAACTGTGTTTTGCTCTCCCATCTCCCTCCCATGTACACACATGCTCTCACCAATCCCCCAAGCGGCTCCTCTCATCCAGCCTGCCATCCTAGACTGAGAACAGATCTTAGGAACCGAAGGGAGCTACCATATGACCTTGAATGGTATAACCAAACAGATATGCTCCAGGGTGGCCTGCCTGTCTGAGACCAGTGAAGCGTGGGCTTCATGGGCGCCTGGACATTGTGCGGAAGTCTCTCGCACTATGTGTAGCATGAGTGGATGTCTGAACCACGTGACCAGCCCTCTTCTCCTACCTGATCCAGCAGAGAAGTGGGCTTCAAAAAGGAATCCTCCTGAAACTTAGTGGGTAATGGTATTGGAAGGGAAAGAAGCCACTGGCTGAGCGACAGGAAGTAGGAAGGGAAGAGGGAAGCAGACAAAACAAAAAAAAGGAAAATACAACCTTCCTCTACTTGTCTGAGACCATGCAGGCAAGTGTGGGCTATGCTGGCAAGTGCAGGCAGGGTGGCAGTGACGAAGCGGGTCACACAGGGGTCTTCCCTCCAGGAAATAGCCTCTCTTTGGAGCACTGTTTCCCAGTATGGAGGGTAATGAACACTACCGTTGATCCAATTTGCTTTTTCTCCAGTGTAGAACCCACCCTGTGCTGTCAGCCCTGTGGATTTATTGGTACTGCAGGGAGTTTGGAGAAACACAAACATTGTTATGGCTTTTGGGTTCTTTGTTTGAAGAGAAATGTTTGAATTGTCCTATTTGACAAAAAAAGAAAAAAAGAAAAAATAAAAGAACGGAAAATAGTTTTGACAGTCAGAATGCCTATTTCTTACACTGAGAGCAAAGAAATTGTAAGATAAAGAGGAAATAAAATGTGCTTTTCTTCCATAGTTTTTTTCAATTAATGACATAGGACTGGAATGATTTTTGTGAGAAAATATTATGTGCTAAACTAAACTACACACTACTAATAATGGAACAATCTTGGTTATTAAGTTGACATTGCCCTGCAAATATCATCAGAGCAACTGACTAAAGGAAGGGAAGACTGTGGTGTGTGTGTCTGTGTGTCTTTGTGTCTGTGTGTGTGTGTGTGTGTGTGTGTGTGTGTGCATGCGTCCCAACCACTAATAGTGCAGAACAGTTCGGGCCAGATCCCATTATCAAACACACCTAATACTGTTTTCTAAATTTTCAACAACTATTCAAATAGAAGCCAGAGAAGAAAAATTGCCTCTCACCGGAAAGCCTTAAAACACACAGAAAGGCACCATATTGCCACTTTAGGGACACATTTGTTCCCTGCTGTTGCTATTTTATATGTCATTTCAGTCCTGCAGTTAGCTATAAAGCAAATCTTTTCTTTTTCCAGAGAGGAATAAGAGCTGCCTGAAGGGAAACAAGAATGGGAAGCATCCTTAAAATGACTGATTTACAATTGGCAAGGAGATCCAATATGAAAATTATAGCTCTCCATTTTAAAGGTAGGAGCCTTGCTTCTTTCTCTGAAAACATCCCCCGAGGGCCCCCTATTGGCCAAGCAAGAGGCAGTCATGAAGGGGCTGCTGGCTTTCAGAAACTATGAGGGAAAGGGTGCATGGGAGTGGCCGTGGTGACAGCAGAGAGGGAAACTCTGCAGTAATAGGGAGAATTAAACTAAAAATCAGAGACCTTAGCCATACGGGTCACAACTCACTGTGCAACAGAGCTGGTCTAGCCCAAGGTAACCTTCCCCATGTGGCCCACGACTTCCTGGGCACCAGAGCTGGTTTAGCCCAATGTAACTTCGGAATTTAGGTTCCTGGTTCTATGATCCCTATTCTGACAAAAACATGTAGGTTCGCTTCAGCAGTTCCCCTGTGTTTTGACTTTAACTTCTTACTTTCAATAAGGAAAATGAAAAATGACACCCACTGAAGAGGAATGTAACTGGAGACTGCTCTTTTGTTTCCCAGCCACCCAGATCAAAAAACAAAACAAAACAAAAAAAAAAACCACACACACACACAGAAACTGTATTAATTATAACATTGTTGGGCCAATGACTCTGGTATATTTTTAACTAGCTCTTACATCTTGAATTTCTATTAATTTGTGTATTGACACGAGGCTGTGGTTTACTGAAAAGGTTCTGGGTCCTTCTCTTTCAGCAGCTACGTTTGCATCTCTTTGAACCTGCCTACTTTCTCCCTATATTTGTGTTCAGATTTCTCACCTGGCTTTGCTCTGCTAAACCTTTGGCCAAAACAGAGTTATTTATTAAACAATAAAAGCATCACATGTACAGAAGAATATCCCACATCAGAGGAATATTGTGGAGACTGATTTGATTTGCCAAAGGATATAGGTCATTAGACCATCAATGGGAGGCTGAAGATAAGTCAAAAACTGTCTGCCAACAATTTATATGTAACTCGAGTGTAGTTCTCAAGAGAGTCACCCATTTTCTTCAGGAAATACCCCATGGGTTTTGGCTAAGTCGAAAAGACTCCAATTTATCTCTCAAAGAAGAAGGGGAAGATTTACCTGCCTAGGTATGATGACAGGCCTTGAAGATGGTTCCATTGATGTGCACCTCAGAGCATTCCCTGTGAGTCATGAATGGCTCAGAGCATCAATGAATGTGAGTCAGAGCACATGTGCAGGTTCCATGGCACTGTGGTTTCCTTTCTTCCAACTGTTTTGCATTGTGTGCTCAAAGGGCATGTCAGTTTCCATGGGCAAGGATGCTGAAGAAGCCCAAAGGCAAAAGTTAGCACATAACTGAGCAGCAGTAGAGATGAACCTTAGAGATAACAAAGCCTTCTCTGATATTCAGATATACAAAGTAACCCACAGGGCATTGGCGTGAGAAAATTCTAGCACTGTTCTACTAAAGAGTCTACCTTCAAGCTACTGTCCAGTTTGAGATGCTGGTTAGAGGATTTTGTGAGTCCCCTCTGAGTCTACCCATTTTGTGAGTCTACCCATGAAATCTTTAATTCTATGATCCAATAAGTATTCACCAAGCAGGTATAGGCCAGATCCTAGATTCTAAAGGGAGTTCTAGAGACTACAACCCAGTTAAGGATAGATAGTCCCATGAGATATCCCATCTAGTTGTAGTGCAGTGGATTTTTACTTATGTAGTAAAAATGAAGATTGAACATACATGGTATTGTGAAGTTCCTGACTAAGGGAGAAACCAAACGATGCTGAAGCATGAGGAATGGCTAGTGTCAGAAGGGCCATTTGATCATCTCCAACAGCCAACCCAAAGCATCAAAATGAAGCCAAGAAAAGGCAGGAGAGGCTGTATAATTAAGAAGAATGAACTGTGTATGTGAAGATAGATAGATAGATCACAGTTTAAAAACTAAACCCTGGAGGGCACTAGTGGCATCTGCAAAGAAAGGAAACTTATACCTTAGGCAAATGGTCCTTACTCAAATAATGACCTTTCTCTTGCGAAATTAAAGAAGATTACAACAACATGAACTGTAGGGTCAATAAATGGCACCCTTCATTCCAGCATGCAGGCAGCCTCCAGGTTCTTTCCCTGAACCTCTGACTTCATAGGGTCACATGCTCGCCTTTCCCTTCTGCAACTAGAGAAGGGATCATCCATGCCACAGAGGAGGTGCCCAGCATGTTATTACTCTCATTGAGTTTATCTATCTCTGCTGCATGATGTGTTGCCTCCTCAAAGCCTTCTGGATGGAGATGGATTCTTAGAATCCATGACAGAAATCACAAGATTTCACATCTGGAGCGATCATATAACCCTAATTTCACCAGAGTGTCACACATTAGTTCCTTTGTCATCTCCCTGATTAGACTGAAGATCTAGTGTCTCAGGTATGAATGGTGTGCTTATTGTCTTCAAATTGGCACAATCGTAGAAGACTCACAGAGATGGCAATGTTCCTTTTTCTTCTTTTCTTTCTTTCTTTTCTGAGACAGGGTCTCTGGTGTAACCTCAAATTCACAAGGTAGCCGAGGATAACTTTGGATACCTGATCATCCTGCCTCCACGTCCCAACCACTGGGACGACAAAACAACCTCCATGTGTTCCAACCAGTGTTTGCATACAGTGTTTGTTGGACATAAGGAATGCCTTTGACACGAACCTAAAGGTACACGCTTTGACTTTCTTTCTGAAAGTCGGATCACTCCCCAGGAGAAACCTATCTATATAAATAGCAGCAAAGAGGTTTTAATGAGATCCTAACCAGAAAGCTCTCTTCACCTTCCTGATTGGTGGGTAAGGGCAAGAAAACAAACCAGAAAGTCTTCCTGATACCTTCAGAAGGATCCAGAGCAGGCAAGGCTGGAAGCTCCTCTGGCCGGGGCCTGGATAAAGCCCCTGGAGCCTTGGTGAAGACCTGGAATTATACTCAAGGGCCCAAATCCTTTTAACCAGCATTGGTTAAACAAAAAGAGAACTAGAGAACTGAGAGGGACTTCATGCACCCCTCAAAGGGGCCTACCTTCCTATACTGTCAGTGGAAGGCCCCAGACAGATAGGGGTGGTGATTTGAGAATAAAGGGGTTTCTAGAACACACACCTGTGCTGGGGGTTGGGCAGTGGAATTCTGATATTATGGTTTCCCGTAGTCTCCCTTGGAAAGTGTGTGTATCACTTCTCTAAATTTCAAAAGAACAATGCTTTAAAGAATTTCAAAAGAACAATGACCTGGAAGAAAAGCCAGCATAGAGTTATTTGCTTACTTGATTGAATCATGTGGCTGGTGCGGGAGAATTATCTGTATTCTGTCAATCATATCTTAATAAAACGCTGATTGGCCAGGCAGGCAGTATAGGCAGGAAAGCCAGACAGGAAGTAGGGGTGGAGCAAAGAGACTGGGAGTATTCTAGGAAGCTCCCTCTGCCAGTTCTCCCCAGACCACCGGAGAGGAAAGATGTAAGCTGCCCAGCTGAGAAAGGTACTGAGCCATGTGGCTAATGTAGATAAGGATAATGGGGTAACCTAAGTTATAAGAACTAATAAGTAGCCTGACCTAATGGGCCAATCAGTTTATAATCTTATGGAGTCCCATCTGTGATTTTCCTTGGGAGTTGCCAGCTTTGGGGTACTGGGCAGGACAGAAACCCCAACAAACCGGCCCCTCATGTTACATGTGGCTCTTTCTAAATACAGCCCTGATGTTAGAAAAGTAATGTTTTGATTCAGAATTATAGTCACAAACTACAGATTACAGAAGACAGTGCCCGAATTGATGGCTCTAAATTCAGCCTTATCATTTGTAAGGAAAGGATGAAAATAACTAAATTATAAATTTGTACATTGTACAGGGATAAAGAGAAGGGTTCCAGGTCAAAGTTTGCCTTCACCAATATTCTGTGGCTCTTTAAAGCATAATTCAAATAAATGGATAAGATGTCTAGCCAATCGCTATTTTAAATTGTGTGTCTATGTGTGTATGTGTATGTATGTATGTACGTGTATGCATGGGTGAGGTGTGCACATGTGTAGGAATGTTGTGCATGTGTATGTATTTGTGGGATGTGTGTGTTTGTATGTGCTCAGGCTGTCCTGAATACAGCCTAAATTTAACTCCTGCAACCATGCAAAGGCATTTATGGGACACTTGCTATGCAAAAAGGCATGGTGCCAAGATAGGAAATTCATAGAGCTTGGCATCTTCCTGCAAGGACCTTGGTGGTATGGTTTAGGCGTTGGTCTTGGCTTAGCATTCAAACATATCTTTTTTTGGTGGTTACAATGCCTTTACCTCACCTCAGTGCAAAACCTAAAGATGAGTTCATTTGTAAGTAAAACATTACTTCTGTGGGGATCCTGAAGAATCCATGCAGTTTGAACACATTCACTTTCGATTTTAAAGATGTGGCTCTTTAGAAAATTAATCAATGTGGCCAAAGTCCTGATTTGAAAGAGCGGAGAGGCTTCTAGGCCTTTCCATTGCCCAATCCTGTGATCATTATCGACTCCTCGCCTTCTCATGCCACCCTCGACTTGCTCTGTCCCAAGGGAAAAGGTGACAATGTCTTCAAATCCTTCAAAGCTCTTGTAAGCTCAGTATTCAAAGTACTCAAAATTACACAGATCGTGGCCATTTCTTATCCTAACAACTTGTTTTAGCCAGAAGAAGCAAAAATGCAGACAAGGTGGCTTGTCTCTACATGTCAGATCCAGAGACTCAAACAACTGCAACCACAGCTGAGGTTCTTTTGGAATCTTCTCCAGAAATAACTGGATGGCCTACCATAGCCCCAACATGCATGAGTAAGCAGAGCTACCCACAAGGTCTAGAGGGATAATAAGTTTGTGATTCTCACAACGAAGTGCTGGCCACTATAAAATAAGAGCCCAAATAGACACATTTATTAAACATCATGTTAATATAAGTGCCAGAGTCTAAGAAGGTAACAGGGTGTTTTTGGCTGGGGCATGCTTTAATGCATGGTGTTCCCACACCAAGAAAAAGAAGAAAGGTTGGTCCTAAAAAGCCTGGGGAATTCCTTTATCAGAAAATGATTTTGTATTAGCTCAAAGGAGAGAATAAAATCATGTGATCACTTTCATTTTTCTACTTGCTTCATGACCACAAAATTCTCCATTCCTTTGTTGTTTGGGGGTTGTTTGTCACAGAGCAAAGCCATTGTTTGAAATGGTATATTGCTTTCTGGCTGCAGCGAGATGAGCAGCCTGCTCTGCCCTGTGAGGTACTGCCTTGCCAAAGGCATCTGGGCCAGCTGTAAATTGAAATCTAGGAAATTGAATAAAAGGAGACTTTCCCTCTTTTGTAATTGGTTTGTCTCCGGCATCTGTCACAGTGATGGGAATGTGTCTAGTGCAGTAGAGTCGCTCTGCCTCCGCACTGTCCAGGCTCTGAGCTGGACTGCTCTTGGTGGATGACACGCATGGGCATGGCAAATACATCTATCCCCGCCAGTTGTGCCAGCCGAATACTCCTCCAGATAGTGTACTACACCTTGCCTGAAAAAAAGCTCATTCTGGAAAATAAAAGCCAGTTCTTATTCCAATGAGAAAGGAGTGTTTGCAGTTGGATGGTGTTGTAGTCAGCCAACAAACCAGCATGGCTTTTCACCTTAGAGAAAGCAGTGTCCACCGGGACCATGCAGATGAGACTATGCACTCCTCCCAGGAGAGGATACAGTGGGACATGTGCAGAAGACCCCTCTGACGTATTTTAATTCTTGGGGTCTGGTTCCTCTCATTGGCTACCTTAGGAACACTACTAATTTTTGAATGGAAATGATCTAAAATTCCCCCTAAACCAGGTGTTCCCATTAGATAGGATAGAAAGGAAAGAAAACACTTGGGTAGGAAAAGCCATGACTTGGCTTTCAGACTCATATGTGCATTTTAAATTTAAAGGTTAAACATTACTTAGCTTACTGTAGTGGTTATTTTTAATGTGGCACCTTAAGTGAGCTATCCAATGGGGCCTAGTTTTAAATCCTATCATAGAAGATTCTGTAAAAGAATTTATTAGGTATGACCTTTTAAACTAATAGACTGAGTAAATTACTTTCCATTATGTGGACAGACTTTGTCCATTTAATTGATGGTCTCAAGGAAATGATTGAGGTGCTCTAAAGAGGAAGAGAGTCTGTCTGTAAACTGCCTTCCAACTTAATGTTTCGACATCAGTTCCTGTTGAAGTTTCTACCCTGTTACAACATGCTACAGGTTTCAGGACTTTATATGTATTCAGACCAGTTCCCTGAAATCTATAGCTAGATAGAAAGAGAGAGATAGATGATAAATAGATAGATAGATAGATAGATAGATAGATAGATAGATAGATAGATA